AAAATAAATAAACTATTGAAAATATTATTTTTTAACATTGAAAATTATAAAGTATTTATTATTAAATTTTGAAAATAATTTGTCAACTATTATTTAAGGATTTCTTTGAAAAATTTGAACATTAAGATTTACAAGCGAAGTTGATAATTTTTTTAAATTCTATGAATGAGACACAGAGTGATTTTGTAATAATTATGAATATCATGGATAAAATATACAAACTGGCCATTATATCAAGGAATATTCCTGATTCAAAGATTAATCCTTGAAATTTTAAACTCTATTAGCAGTCAATATTTTTATATGAAAATATTTAGTACGATTCTTGAGCCTCTTTTTCTCTCCCTCGGTTATTTATCTTGCCTTCTTTAAGCTTTGTTTTTGTGAAAAAAATTTGTTAACCTTTAAAGTAAAATATAAAAAAAATCATTGTTTTCCCTCATGAAAAACAGATTTACCCTATAATTATAGTTTATTAATTTCAAGAAACTTGAATTAATTCATGAAAAATTTCTCTAATTCCTTAACAAATCGGAAGAAAATTTCAAATATTCCTTAAATATCTTTTACACTCTACCATCAATTCACAAATAAGCATCAACTATACACTTTCCTTTAATTAGTTCTCTACACAACATTATTATACATCGTATTCAAAATTTGTACCACATTATAAATCTAATATTGAATTTACGGTCATTTTCATGTTTGAATTTTATTTGGATCCGAATATAAACACTATATATTTATTTTATGGATTTTTTGTTTTGTAAAACCATTGCATACAGTAATAAAATAAAAATAATATTATTACAAAGTCATTATTATTATTATGTGAAATTATAACCACAAAAATAACTCACAAGAAATCACAAAATGGATTTAATAAAAATTAATATAATTTATAATAATTAAAATTAATTAACCGAATTTGAAATTCAGGATTAAATGATTTTTTATTATTATTATTATGGTTATTCCAATGGCAAAAAGGAATAATCGCCTAAGATACTTAAGCATTTTTTAAAATCATATTATTTTCAGCAGAAACTTCATTAAATTGATTGAAATTTCTATTTCGAATGAGTGAAATCGATTAAATACAATAATATAAAGTATTCTAAGATCTAAGTCTCGTCTTTATGATTAGATTAAATTATCTAAGATTATGGTCTCGTAGGAAAAATTTTTGATGCTTTATTTATTCATTTAAGAGATAGTGTAAAAATATAATTTAATGGAAATTAAAGTGAAGTCGAACATAATAACAAAGGAATTTAAACTCGATTTTCAGCTTTTAAATGGCGATCAAAGCTTTTATAATCTCTTATATTCTCAGTATATTATCTATTTTTTCACTATTGAAATCTCCTCTCATTTACATGCTGCTAATTACTTTTCCGCTGTCTTACTAGAGCTGACATTGTTATAATTAAAAAAATGGATATACCAGTTCCAGTAGTTCTAACAGTTGTAAATGAAAAATTAAATAATAATAGAGCACGTTGTCCCATACTATAATTAAATTGTACTTTGTTTCATTAAAAATATTGCTGCAATGTCTTCTAAACAAATTTTTAATGAAAAAATAGATTTATGAGATTTTTTCTAATAAATATACTGCAAATTAGGTTTATAATTTAGTTAATAAATTAACAGTATAGAGAGAGATAACAATTAATTTTATTAAACTAATTTCATTTTATATAATTAAATTTTATGCAATTATTCCTTTTGGTCACTCAGAAATTAATGATGCTTAACTAATGAAATTAAAATTTTATTAAATAAACGAAAAGCAGAAAAAACATTAAGAGAAACGAGAATTTTTTAATCCTTATTATGTTTTTTTTTTCCTTCTTTTTGATTTTTTTTCAAATAATTCACGGCTTTTGTTTTAATGAACTACAAATTATATTTTATAAATTTGTTTAAAATTATATTTTTCAACATTTTATTATGTTATAATTGAATAATAAAATGTAATTTTGTTAATTAAATAACTAAAATAATTTTATAATACCAAACAATAAAAAAAAACCTCAAAAAAGAAAAATAAAAAAAAAAATTTCCTAAAAAAACACCATGTGAAATTTACCATGATCCTGCTTGTCGTATATAAAATACATTTTACTCTTAATGGTTTTCAATAGTACATTTAATGTATTTCAGGCATATTAAACATGCAATTTTTTAAATTTTCGGTGACACTTTAAACTATTGTTTGTTCGTAATTTAATTCAAAGGACAATGAAGCAAATATTTAAAATTTACTGAATAAGAAACGGCCAATTTCTTTAAAAAAAAAGAAAATAAAGGAAGTCGGGCTGTAACAAACCAATTATAGTGTAAAAATTGTAAGTGACTCAGAATTTAAATTTTTTTTCACTAATGAGACTTAAAATTGGAGCCTAACAGCCAAATCATGAGTTTCACTTTTCCTTCTCACTTCGTGTTTCTAATGAATATTTCATTTTTCCAATAATATTCCTCATTTTGTCAATTTAATTTTTGCATTTTTTCTCAAATTATCGACTGAACGCAAAACATCCTGTATTCAAAAACAAAGTGAATTAATTTTGAATACATTTTAGAAAAAACGAGATACACAATACGGAATATTTCTTGTTACTCGAAAATTATATTATGCATAATATAAAATGTATAACAGTTACTCACTTTCTACTCACAGGCGAGTAAAATAGCGAAATGTACCGGATCAGGCTTTTAATTTTAATTTACTTGAAAACTATTATTTTATTGGCAATAATTCTAATTATTTTATTGCCTTCTCTCTAATTCTAATTTTATAAAAGTTTTAAACATTAGCAAACCGTGAACTCACAGCTTAGTTAAACGTAAATATTTTGTAGTCGCCCGTATTTTCATTACAACAGTTTTATACGCCTGGTTTATTGAATGGAAAAAAATTAGTAAAATACTTCTCTTTTTTTTTTTAGTCTTATTTATTTTAAAATAATTAAAAAAAAATTTTTTAACTTTTATGTAATTGTGTGTATTATGATTCTATTTTATTGTATAATAAATTTTTTCCTTTTTTTCTGGGTTTTCTATTTAATTTTTCATTTAAAATTATACTTTTGTTTTTTCTGAATTATTTTTAATTTTAATTTCAATTAGTTGAGGAGATTTCCTTATTTATTGCTTTTTTCTTTTTCCATTTTTTGGAAAACCCGCCTCCCAAACAATTGTAGGGAATAGAAATTAATTGTTATACCACGATGATATTTATTTTTTAATTTATTTTCATAATAATAATTATTATTTAACAATAAAAAATACAATAAAACCAAAATATAAAAAAAAAAATTAAAATCCTATAATATTTGACCAACCATTAAAATTTTTATAATGCTTGAATTAGGTGCAAATGTATTAGAAATAAATTGATTTAATTAGATTGTAAAAATGTTGTTCTTGTTTTTTTTTTATTGGCAACATTATTAAAATACTCAAAATAAATTATTTTAAATGTGTTGATATAATTATAACAATAATATAAACTGTTATAATAATTATACATACATAATGTATTTATATGTATATAAAAGCTCGAACACTATAATTTTAAAATGAAATGAGTAAAAAGTTAAAAACGAAAATGTCATTAAAAATAATTAGTTTGTGTTTTGATTTTTATTGCAATATTTTGTTAATGATTTAAAAATAAAATATATTAAAAAGTAAATTAGTTAGAAATTTTGTAATTAGCACCCAACAGTTTTTATTATATACAATTATTGTATAATGTACAAATTTATTGGGTTATTAATTGAGTATATAGGTACTTTTAATTTATGAATTTTGGTCACATTTTTCAACAAATTAATTGTATAGAATTTTATAAGGATTGAATTTATTGTAGAAATCAAAAAAAATTTTTAAAGTAGTTGATATTTAATTTAAAATTTAATAAAAATTTTAACATTTTAAAGCTTAGTATTTTCATTAAAATTAGAGCAAAATATTAAAGTTGTGAATTTGTTATTAAAAATTATAGGTAAAATGTGCTCGATATTCATATATCGTAAATAAATAAAGCGTTATTAATAACATATCAATCAGCTTGCCCTAAAACAGCAGATTAATATGCAGATATAATGCAGACTATAATGGTAAATTTTCAATAAAATTCCATAATTAACAATGTTAAAAATTATTAATAGTTGATAAATGAATTTTATTTCTATATCCCTATTATTTTTAATGAAAATTTTCTTTAATTTAACATTTTCCTCATTGGTACATGAAAAACTAACAAACTACAATAACTTCATGTATTTTTCCAGAAAGTTATTGATTTAACGTACAAACTTTCTTAGAATTGTTAAATAATATCCTTAAAATTTAATAGAACCTGGCTGAAGGTTTACTTACAAATTGCCAATTACCAATACATACAAACCCATAAATTTCTTTCTCAATTCCTTTATCGTAGTTTAGTTTTTGTTAATTTTGTTGCAGTATTGTAATATATTTTATTATGTTATACTCCAATTATCTTATATTTTATTCGAAGTTAGTACGTGCATTGTTATTTTTAAAAAAAAAATAATCGTAGTTTTTTTTTTTTTTGCGTGTATTTTTTAATAAAAATAAATAAAGAAAAAGTTTTGTACTTACGGGCTGCATCAATTATATTTGTTCTCCATGCTAGAAAAATTATAAATAATAATGCTGCAACATCTTTGGCTGCTGGCAATGCTGCCATTCGCAGCCGCCCCATTATTTTTTGGGAAACAACCACAAAATGAAATTAAATGGAAAAAATATTTTGGGAATATTTTTGGTTTTTTATTTTTTTTTTTTGATTTTCTTGGATTTGGTTTTTGTTTGTTTTGATTTTTTTCTTCTTCTTTGTCTTCTTTTAATAAAGGATTTTATTCTTTTGCTTTTAATGGACTTTTTTCTATTTGTTTTGTCCAAAAAAAAAAAGAGAAATATTCTTTTGCTGCAAAAATTTTTTTTTGCTTGTTTTCGTTTTCTCTTTGTATGCTTTTGTGTTATTGCTTTTTTGTTTTTATTTCTATCTCTTCTTTATTGTTCGGAGAGCTAGATTTCTCTTGAAAATCTTTCAATGTTAATTTTTGTATCTGTGATTTATAATTTTAAAATTAAATATTCTATGTGTTTCTGTTATTTTTTTGTTTTCAATAAAATTTTCATTTGTCTTCTTTTATTTTGTTGAAATAATTTTCTGTTGTTCTTTAATTACTTTGTTAAAAATTCATGTTTTTTTTCTTTCGTTTGTTTTGTTTTATTCTGTTTTTATCATTGATTACTTTTATTTTTATCTTTATCTTTTTGGTTATCTTTTGTCATTAAAGCTTATTTTTTAATCTGGACTTTATTCTGACTTTATCATTTTCGAATTCTTCTCTTTTTGCCTTTTTTATTAAAAATGATGGTATGGTATGTAATATTATTGCTGTATATATTTTAATATTCTCTTCCTCTTTTTATTTTTCGTCTTCTTCTTTCTTATTATGTTAATTTTTATGTTATATATTATGTATATTTAATGTTATATATTTTTTGTTGTATATAACATATATATATATATATTACGATATATTCTTCTATTTATTTATTAATATATATATGTATATGTATTATTATTTACTTTATATCCCAAGAAAATATGTTGTTATATAATATAAGTATTGGGATTTTAAAAAATTTTATTCTCGTCTTTTTCTTCTTTAGGTACATTAAAATAATTAATTTCAAATTGAATTTAATTAAAAAAATATTATTAATTTTATAATAAAAAATATAAACATTATTATTGTGTATTTAATATTTATATAATAATTATTTAAGTATATATATATATATATATGTATATAATAATTATTATTATAATGTATATTTGTTTTTTTTTTTATATAATTATAATAATATAATAAAATTATTGTCAAAATTGGTTTTAATTATAATTATTGATATTTTAATTATTTATTGTAATTTAATTTAAAAAATATATACATATATAGTTATAATGATTTATGAGTATAATAAAATATGAAATATAATTAATTTGTATATATATATTTAATCATTTATTAATGTTAAATCAAATATATTATTATATGTTATTGCCGCCATTTTTTCATAATTATTGTTTTTATATAATTTACATAAAGTTTTTCCATCATTATTATTATTATTATTATTATTATTATTATTGCAATAATTATTGTTGCCAGATTTTTTTGTCATTGATAATTTTGATAATGTTGATGACAATGATATTGATGATGACATTGTAAATTTTGTTTGTAATCGTAATAATTTTGATAATTTTTTTGTTTTATTCGATATAAATTTAGAATATTTTGATCGTTTTTTCGTAATGAATGGAATATTATTAAATTTTTGTTTATATTTGCCATATCGTTTAATTGCCATTTCAATTTGTTAATTTATTTTACAAATTTTATGTTTTTTTTTTTAATTTGTTCAATAACATTTAGAAGATTTGTTTTTTTCATAAATTATTTATTATTTTGGCCAGTTGAATAAGTTTTTGTTTTGTTTTCATATTTGTGTTGAATTTGTTTCAAATTGTATATATAGCAGTATATAGTTATATATCAAAGCCAATATATTTATTTCATTTAAATTATAGCATCAGTTTTCAATTAAAATAAGTTTAATTACAAAATATAGCAGCATAGTACCGAAAACAAGGTAATATATGCATCCGTTTCAGTTCGTTTTGTAGATTTTCAGCAATATATATATAGCAAAAGAATATAAAAATGTTTGATATATAATAATTTTGTAAATTATATCACCATTTATGATAATGTAATAGTAGTAATAAGTTGATTATAATAGTAGTTTCGTTTTGCATCCAAAATTTTCAGTTGATTTTTCCATCCATGAAAGAAGGATTTTGTATTGGAAAGGACAGGATTTTATTGGATTTGAATATTGAATGGAGGTGTAAAATAAAAAATAAAATTGAAAAAAAAAGAGAAAAGAAAAAAAAACAGAAAAACAAAAATCAATTATTGTTGTCTTTTATTCTTTTTTACCTGGAGAACATTAAATTTGGCATATATTTTCTATTTTGTGTAAGGAAAATAAATTTCCTTAAGATTTTCTTTAACTTATATTAATTATTTATTGAAAATATATTAAATATATATATATTTAATTAAAATTATTTTAATTTTTAATAGGAAATTATTGATTTTTTTAAAATATAGGAATAATTTTGCAGCTTCACTTAAAAATTCACCACTCTTTTAATTATTATTTTTTTTTAATTAATTTTAATTTAATTTTTATATTATTTTTTATTAAAAATTTCACTCAAAATTTCACTTATATTATTTGATATTTTTTTTTAGATAAATTTTAAAATTCACTTTTTATTAAAATTTTCACTAAATCACTTATATTTTTTTTTCAAAATAAATTTTATTTTTAATCACTTATTTTTAATTTTTTATTTTTCACTTTATTTTTCATATATCTTAAATTTTTTCTTTTGTTTTCACTTTTAATTATTGATTTTAATTTCTTGAAAATATTTTCATTTAAATTTTATAATTATATTTAATTTTTTTATAATTTAATAATAAATTGAATTTATTATGCATATATGGACATCAAATCCAAAAAAAACACACTCATATATAAACACTATAATTTCGTATATAAATTCTGATTTCTTATAAATTTGTTATATAAATTTTTCCCTCTAATTTTGAATCGGAAGAACAAACAACAGTATTTAAAATGGGAAATTTTTTATATATTTGAATTGAAATTATTGAAATAATTCCTTGAATTATATATTATATTTAATATTATTCTCTTCCAATTATAATTTGTTATTATAATAATATCCCTAATACATGAGTAATTATAAAAAATGTATTATTTATAATAGAATATTTAAGGACATTAAACTTTTATTTCATATTTTCATTATTTTTATAATTTTTTTTCGTTTAAGGTTGTGAGAATTTTATTCATATTGTGTTTAAATATTTTAAAAATATTCTACACGAATATCCTCATTTCATCTTGTTTGAAGGATATTCTTCTATAATTATTATAATGAATACAATTATTTATTTTTCTATTTATTCTTCTTGTTTGTATCATTTTGCATATAACAAAAAATAAAATAGTATTAAATTAGCTTTGAAATTTGTTCTTAATTACATCATGAGAAAATTCACTGTTTTTATACTTTCTATTTTCAAATTAGAATAAAAACAAAATCACAAAAACAAAATACAAGTGATCACCATTTTTTTAAAATGAGATATGCAAATTTTATTGTTCTGTAAAAAATAGCAAATTTTTCTCTTCCTTAATTGTATACTCTGTAGTTGTAATTGTGTTCACAATTTCTTATTGTTATACAAGCTCAGGAATTGAAACACAAGAACAGAAATATAGAAGACAGTAAAATGTTGACAGACTACTTATGTCTTGGTCTAGACTGTCTTATTCTTGCTCTAGACAGCGTCTTTCTTGTTCTGTAGACGGCTTATTCTTATTATTTTATTCTTCTAAATTTGTATCTTATTTTATTTTTATACTATTCGGGACAGAAAATATTTTCAAGTCCCCACCCCAATTTTGAAATAATATTTGAGTTCTTTATTTTTTTTGTTTTATTCTCAAAGAACAACCAAACAAACAAATATTGAAGTAAATGCAATTTCAATTTACCAGTATTTTATTCAATTGTATTATTCGAAATGCACATTGCTATATGTATAAGTTCATTATATGAATTATAATAAAAAAAAATTATAATAATAATCTTGTCAACTTATTACAATCATTGTTTTTTTTTTCTATTTTATTTATTTTATTGTTTTTGTTAAGTCGCAATAATTTTTTTTTGTAAAAAACAAAAATTCTAAATTATTTCTGAACAATTAACAATAATTTTTTTTTTCTATTATATTATTCTATTGTTCTATAAAATGGCATCTATATACACTCATATATAATGCATTTATGTAAAAACTCGCTCTCTCTCTCTTTACAAGTATTAAAATTTCCTTGTATTTTGTTGCATAGAGAAATATGGGGAAATATCAGTAAGACTGAATCATTTATAATATTCCTGGTATATGATGATGATCTGCCATATGAAAGGCAAATGGATGCACTTTAATGTTTATTGTTGTTATTAAATTTTTCTCTATTTTTATTGTTATTTTTGTAATACAAACTTTTTATTTATTTCTTCTATATTTTTTTTTTGTTTTTGTTTTTTTTTTTTCAAGTTATTTTTTTTTATATTTGTGTAATAATGCGTTTTTCTATTGTTATCAACATGATTATTATTTGTAGAAACATACACATACACAGGGGGTAAAAAAAAAGAATTTCTGTAACAACAACAAAAAAAAATGATTTATTTTTTTTTTATTTTTCTCTCTCTTGTTTTCTATTTGTTTAATTACCAGGATTTTTTTTTTACATAGATAGATTTTTTTTTCTTTCTGTGTAATAATTTTATTTGTTTGCCATTGAAATAATTTAAAAAAATTTTTTTACTATTATTCATTTTTATAAAGCATAATTCTTACTCATTTCTCGTGTAAAAATAATTGAACACTCGGGCCCCGAGTTACGAAGTTCTTTTTGACGAATTTTCGTGTTACGAGTTCTTTTCGTTTACCTCTCAATTGTACTGTCCTTTTCTCTGATTTACGTTCCTTAATTTTTTATTTTTTTTTTCTTATTCCGATAAAATATGAAGTTTCGAATAATTATGAAATATTCATTTTTATTTGCAATACGGAAACGGCAAATTTTTCAAACTTTTTACGTCTTTACGTTTTACGACCCCAAATTTTAGAACTAATCTATGACGTAAATCGAGAACCGAGTGTATGCGATTATTATATAAATTTTTTGCATGAAATAACATTTTATTTACGTATATACTCTCTTTTCCTCTGTATATTTGTTATCATTATAATATATTTTCAGTTTTCCGTACATAATATTAACAAATGGAATTGCATTTTCTTAATTAGAAAAATAAAATAAAAATATATGCAAAATAATTTGAAAAATATGAGAGAATATTAAAAATGTCGATGTCAGTTGGTCTTGAAAAACACAAAATTTATAATATATAAAAAATTTTCAATATAAAATCTGTAGGTTCAAGGATCAATTTTTCCTTGTCAAGAAGAAAATCGGATTTCAAGTAAATTAAGTTGAAAGGCAGTTTGTTTCTGTAAATAAATTTCTTTTAAAGTTCAATATTTAATATTAATAAAATTGTAAGAAATGAAAAAAACCTGAATTGTTCAATGTTTATTAGTTTTAAGAAAATTTTCTTTATTATATTTTCACACTTAAGTCAGCAATTTGCAAAAATTGAAGCGAAAGTGGATCCAATTAGTCTTGCAAACATTTACGTATACATTCGTTCTATTTCGTTTTGGAATCTTGAAAATAGCACGATTATATTGATCTCATTCGGTAGATTGAAACTAAAATCAAGCAAGAAACTGGTTCAAATTATGATATTATGCACTATGCTCCTTCCATAGGATCGAAGTAAGATAAAAAAATATATTGATTTCAGTCTAATATTACAATTTTAAAATAGATTAATTAAATTTGAAATCTTTTTTTTTCAAATTAATCTACTTCTCTACTGCATGAATAGTTTTAATTGTTCCCAATTTTAAAACTAAAAA